CCGATCGACCTTTCTAAACTTGTTGTAGACTGCGAGAAGTCTCTCTTTTTCTTCAGATGCACGCGGGCGAGCGTTGAGCGACGAAGCCGCGAGACGCGAGAAACGAGGACGTCTCGCGCCTTCAGTCACGCGCGTGGTCATTTGCGTGTCTAGGGGGTTTTGCTCGACGGACCAAGAAAAAAGAGAGACTGCCCGTAGCCTAAACTTGTTGAGGACTTAATAGTCACTCTTCATGTCAGCCGTGCAGTGTTAGAAGTATTCTATCCCAACTATTATGGAGGCACCCTCAAGTTGTCCTGTTTACATGCACGCTTTGATTTCTATGGTCCATCACTGGTCACAAGCTACCAGAGGGACTGGCACTGCTGTTAAGGTCGTCCTGTTTGATAATACACCTATAAAGATATTTGGCCCTGTATTCTGTAGTTATGTCCATCACAGGGAGGTCTTAGATCTCATTAAAGTGGCTGAACACAGTTTTGCGGGCGGTCAGCGGTAACTCGCGTGACGGCGCGTGTTTTAAATTAGACAAACAAACATGGCGGCGAAAAAAGCAATGGTACACAGACGACGATTTCTCAAAATCTACCCATTAAAATTTTGTGATATTTGGCAGAATTGTTACTTTTATCGTATTTTAAATAATGAGAACTTTAAAATGGAAGTAGAACAGACGAATTTTGTGACACATTTAAAAATTACAGTACAATTATATCATTGATTATCGAAAAACCTGTCAGTTAAAATTTGGTCAAATAAGTTTCAAATGGTAATGATTAATTATAGTAAGCTGTGTGCAAGTTTATAAGAAAATCTAATGAGCGAATTTTATGTAAACTCAGCAAAAGTGAAATTTTAATGTTGTATTCAATAGTTCATGTTGCCATGGAAACTACGAAAACGTCACATTTTGCCAGTCAATCAAAATCTTTCATCAGTATATTTTTCACTTGCCAAGTTTCAGTATGTGAGCTGCAACCTTTCTCTTGCCATGATCTGGCAAATGACATATACTCACAAACTGCCAAAACTGTGTTCAGCCACCTTAACTCAGTACAAACTGCTCGTGCGCAAGGACTTTAGCCTAGCTATCAATCGCGAAGCTGCTTGCGAGGTAACCGACTTTTTATTATTTTTTATTTTATTTGCCACGAAATAATTACAAAAAATATAGGAAAAGAAGAAAAAAAGAAGTGGCCAGGAGACCTAACAGAAACTATAGGAGCTTATGAGAGGTTAGCCCTCCTCGAACTATGAGCTACAGCTGTTTCACATCAATTGAAGAAAAGAAGGCGAGAAGTCGAAGATGGAAAGACTTATGAACTGTTTTCATACTTACTCAATAATTCAATCTTCAGTTTTTTCTTAAAAGAGGAGAGGGATTGAGAGTTGATGACCTTGTTGTCAAGTGAATTAAAAAACTTAGGCCCTTGAAAAAAGGGCGAGAACTTCTTCGTCTTTGTACGACAATACGGTAGACGGTAGGCCTGGGAATTTCTTATATTGTAAGAGTGGAATTGATTGCTTTGAGAGAAAGCAATCAAAGCACTTCTTCGTGCATTATCCGCGGTTTGTCTTTACCAACAGTACCCTGTCCCTGCAGGTGTACCTCATGGCACCAAATAGGGCCCTTGGCTATTTTCATTGATGATCAATGACCTTGGAGTTAACGGGATACATACTTGGAAGTACGTTAACTACATCATAATTGCTGAGATCGACCCGCGTGTGATGAGAGGGGTGATCTGTCAATTATGCCCAGAACGCCATGAATGCCGTTTAGGACTGGTCACGACAGCAGTAGAACATGCCGAGCTAAACACCGGCAAGTGCAAGATGATTACAAAGAAATTTTAAAAGAAATCTGTTTTCAGCCGAGCAGTACATAGGGGTAAAGAACTGTCGGTCGCAGATAGTGTCAAGATAACAGGGGTTACTTTATAATACGATCCAGAAATGAAAGAAGCCTAACTAGCGGTTGGACTTTTTGGTTTTGCTGAACAGACCGGTAGTCAGATATTACCAACTACGGATATTATTACACTGTTATTCGCGCTGTTCTTTCCACTCTCCTATGTGACCATCTTATAGGAACTGTAGCTTGTGCAAAAGAAAGCACTCTCCATAATTACAGCCTTTAGGTAGTCCACAGTGAACAGTGTACCAAAATATTTAATGAGGTTCCTCAGAATAACATAGTTAGCCAGCTTGCTGGCTCCGCCCCACAATACCACGCTCAATGCAATGCAAGAATCAAGAGGGTCTTTGACCAGCCACGCATCCGCACCAATCTGTTTGGACACTGTTATCCATGTCACCATGTGCTGCCTGCCGAGCTAATATGCCTCTGTATTATAAACGGCTGAATAGTCTTTAGACAAACAGTAAATGTACCGGTTAATAAAATTGGCATTTTTCTGCAGTTTACTTTATGGAAAATTCCAAGTATTTGTTAGAGTTTCGATAGAATTTGTAAATAGGTTATAGTTAAGACTTAATAGTCTGATTTTATGTAATTTAGCATTTTGGTTGCAATGTAGGAGTTTTAAATAAACTATTGTATCTTTTCAGTTAAAGAAGAGTCAGTAAAACAGACAGTTGCCAATATACAATGCAACTCTTCCTTTATTTTCAGATTTGGAAAATACTTTAAATAGAGTTGTGAGTGCGTTTATCTTGACTTTCAAGAGTTCAAAGTCTTTGCTGTCTGCATTCTGCTTCTTTCTGGCTGGCTGTTTGGGTTTGTTGGCTCTGAAAGTTGATCTGTTCGCGGCTGACTGGATCCTTCGTTCTCCTTGCACACGTTTTGTTTGATCAGGTATCATGGTGGCTAGTGTTTCTTTTAAACTGTTGATGGTCTGAGTGTCTGAGCTAACGGTTTTTTTTCAGCTGTTCTGAATCATGAGGCTGAGGAGGTCCTGTTCTCAGCTCTGGTACAGATCTTTCGGAGACGTGGTCGGGTCTAAGTTGGGGTCTGGGCTGGTACTTAAGACCAATAGGGCTGATTCCTTTCTTAGCATGATCTTTGAGAACCATGTTGGATTTTCTGGACTTGGCGCGCGTGGATTCTAAATTCGCGACTCTGTTCCTCAAGTTGCTGAAACCCGCTTCCGTGTTAGGACCGGGGGGCTGGCTGCGGCGGTTTACCGAAGTCTGGGCTGGTTTTCTTGGTACCTGCTTGCGTTCTGGGACGCTTAGAGGCTGGTTGCGATGATGGTATATCGTCTTCTGAGTCAGAGTTGTTTGTTAGCGGTGACTTGAATGATGAGATAGGTGGCGTTTGGCTGTCTCTCATTTCGGCGAGCATGGCAATGACTGAATTAGCACAGTGATACAACCAATAAGAAGTATGGGATTTCGATCACGTGTTCCTTTGTTAGCGGTAAACAATAGATGCTAAATGAAAGTGAACTTATGCAAATTTGCCTAAGGATGGTTGTTAAACTTCATGATGGGTTTAAAAAGTTTGTCCTTGGAAATTATTTTTGATTTAATGGCGTGAAGTTCATACGGTGGCAGTGCAGTTTTGCAAATAAAAAAGCGATAATATTGTCACTCGACCCATACCGAGTATAATTCCTTGGAACCCCACCTTACGGCCACCTCGGTAAAACGGTCACCTTGTTATTACGGCCACTCATTTTCTTATATATATAAAAAAAATCTCCTTAATGCGGTCACCCGTTAATACTGCCAACAGCCACATTTTAAAATCGGAAACAGTAAACTGACTCGTTAATACGGCCACTCGTTCGAAATTTAGAAAATTGAAATGCCTGTGACATGTCAATTTCAAAATGAGAGATTATATCGACAGGCAGGTTACTCCACCTAAGCTACCCTATTCCGGGCTCCGAGATAGTGGTGAAAAGTCGTTCAGTAAAAAGAAATGCGAAGAACGCGCTGGTGTTGGGGAGAGCCTTTTTTCCCGCCGCCACCGCCCCTTTTCCCAAGTCGCGCACGTCTTATTTTCGCTCTGCTCGTTTTACTGACGTCACCACTATACTATCTGAGAGCCTGGTACAGGCTACGACTAAGCGGCTTACCTCAACTACCTGAGGTCTCCCACCTCCATGTAAACAGGCCCCTAATTACTTACTCTACATTTAAATTTCTGTTGGTGTTGTTATTCAACGGTTAATTACGTCTGCAGATGTATTTTGGAACACACGAAACGCCATTTTATTTCCAGAGATGCGTTTATACTGTATTTCCTTATGTTTATCACTGCAGTTTGCTTTTTGTTTCTTCTTAGCTAAGATCATGGTAAAAAAAAAAAGACAAGAGTATCTACTATTCAGTTTAAATCCTCCTGCTAATTCTTCCGGCCAAATTTGGACGATGTTTGTCGACGATATTATAAAAAATAGCCACTTTTAAGGATTATTGATAGTAAAGGGGACAATAGTATGAGTGGTACTTCTGCTGTTTTGGTAGAGTTGGAGAAACAAAATTTCGCATACTTTTACACGTTAGTGCAAAGAAGAACTAGCCAAACTACAGCGTAAAAACATTGCAAAAATAGACTGACTCAAAGTGAGTGTATGTGGCTTCAGGGGTCATAAGTTAATGTTATTAACTGAGTTTCGGGTGAACCTGAAAAGGTCATTAGAAGAAAAAAAATTCCTTGAAATAACTATAACTTATATGTGACTGTTGGTCACTGTAGGTTTTTTGTCTGACTTACTACCCCCCTTTTTTGCCAGGAACCCTGATGGGCTCTCAGTGTTGATGGGCTCTGTTGATGAGCTCTGTTTTTGTGAATTATAAAACAGTTGCAAAACTCAGGAGTGAGTGGTACTTTGTCGGTGTGGTGCATGCATGCTAATACGGAAACCACAAAAAAGTCAGTCTGCTTCTGACTTTTGTAAAGTCAGATGTAGTAAAACTATTCGTTGTTGTAGAAATACCGTACGTGTTTCACAAACCTCCGCTTCACGAGCCACCCCCTCCCGATGCTTGAGTTTTTTTTACCGATCGTAAAGAAACCACACATGTTTATGAGTTTTATAGTCTTTGACCCTTTAATCTTAGCCAAATAGTACTTAAACAATTATTACAATTGTTAAATGTTTATCATGAAGTTCAAGTTTTACTTGAGTTATGTCCCATATCTATAGGTATAGTTAAATAATATATATTTTTACCGCTCAATTTAATTATATTTACAATTCATAAACTTAATGTTTTTTACTAGTATTTCAACGTCCAATGCGTTTTCCATTCAGAGGTATATCTTCCAGCAAAGTTAGCGAGGGGGGAGGGAGTGGGGTATAGACCTTTCCCGCATTCCTGTAAACAAAGGCACCAACTGGAGGCTCGGGTGGACCAAGTACAGTGATTTGTATGAAATTGTCCAGCTGAGCCTGCTCGTCCTCATTTCTTTATGTTTGCTCACTGAAGCGTAATGCGGGATGTTTGAGAAGCAACTTAAACTGATTTTGACTTAAAGGATACAACAGATTCTGACGTAAAAAGTATTCTGCGATCTCCTAGTAACTTTGTTTTTCCTTGTTATAAGGAATTGTGTCGAATGGAACGCAAAGGTAAAGACATATTTAACTAGGTGACACTGACTTCAACTATTTTAAACGCTATTTTTTCCCTTTCCTTAGTCAAATGTTACTAATGGTGATTAATAGCTGTAAATAATACTCATGATTGCTCATTAAGCGTCCGGTCCGACTATGTTAGAAGACGCGAGGAGAGAAGCCGTTTAAAAATTGTTGCCCAAGTTGTCCATGGGCCACGACTCATTACGGTTATTAATGTCAAGTGCGACCCTTGTTAACCAAAGGTTCCTACTGTTATGCTTATTAATAAAATATACAGTGATACCAGCAAAATCAGTTGCAAAAAATCCGAGTTAAAGTCCTTTAAGAACTAAATATCATTGAATAATGTTTCCAATGATGCCCACTGCTGACCGTATCTGTCCAAATAGGAAAACATTTTCCTTATTGCGTAGACACGTTTCAAATGTCACATTAACCGAATCTATTGCAACGCTAACGAGTACAAAAAACACGTCGTTTGAAACGGGCCTTAAGGCTGACAGCTGAAAAAGACACTCAAAGTTGTCAGCTCGTAAATCTATTATATCTCTTATAATTTATCAAGAAATCGTTTAAGAAAACAAAAATAGCGCAAAGGACGTATCGGAGAGTTTGGTTGTTAAAACGACCCTCTATCCTTTAAACTGATAGTTAAACGCCTTGCTTGATCCCACCGCAGTTAGGGATAGGAGCCTTTGTCTCCCCAAGCGGTACAGACAGGCTCTGTATTTATGGCCCTGGCTCATGTACTATTAAGGTGACCTATTTAACTTATTTATCCTGTCGATAAAACCAAATTTCTGAGTTTTCCCATCCTCCTCCACCGACGTATCACCAAAGTTTCGATCTTAGAAACTAACTTATTACATTAAAAGTGAATGGACTTGTTGTCATGGATACATTAGTTCACTACGCAACCACATTTAGCTGCATCTTTAATAGGACACTCTTAAGGAAGGGCTTCTGACGTCATCTGTTTCGTGACCGTAATACGCTCATGATAACCTCATTAAAATGTTTTGGCTTCTTTTAATTTTGCCTTGGCGTGGACAAGCCCGCAGAGATTTAAGATGGTTTCTTTTTTAAGCTTGACCCATACTTCTTCCTTTATGTGGCATTGTAGAACTGGTCCTTTTCCAGATTCAAGATTTCCAGTCAGAAGGAAAACGATTCTTTCCATCTGTTTCCAGTGACAGCCAGCAGGTACCTCTACTAACGCTCGAAATTTGTCGCCGGTTTCTTTGCTTTTTACAAAAATGTTCTTTTCTTGTCTGATGAGTTCGGTAGCTATGATGTTTGCTGGTTCTTTCTGACCATTTCCAACAGGGAACAACGGGTGAATATATCCACGGACCACTATTAAATAGACAGGGGGTATTAAACATTTGATTAGTGATGAAGATCTTAGAAGTACCCTATTACATCTAAATACGTCTCGCAATACATAAAGCAGATTAAACACTTTTAGTTTGTCCGAAAATAATTATAAATTCTTTAGTGTGTAAAAAAATATGTGCGGACACTTCAAAAGAACAATAGCAAATCGGCTGTTAATAGAGTGTTGGCTTACGACCACTTTTCTTTTCCCTCATTTTTGCCAACGGTTACTTGACAGTGACTTGACCAAATGAGACTTTTACCATATACTGCAACTAGCGAACACACTTACCAAAATCACCTCTGCAAAGAGATTCAACCAGTTTTGAGTATTTACAAGGTCGGCATTCTGAAATAAGAAAAAGTGGAACTGAATCAATATACAATACTACAAAGTTTTGAAACGTGTATAGTAATCTATGGTGTCATAACTATGATAGCATAACTGACACATTTTTCCCTGATGATGTAACTGAGTATTGTTACTGAAAACGACTAGTTTCTATGTCATCTAACCTTTAATTCTCCTATGTCTTGGTCGCTTTCTTCCGTGTTCAAATACTGTGTAGTTTACTTGGGTTAGTGTCTGGTATTCTTGTGTTTCCAGATAAAGTACAGGCCATTGTTCAGCTTTACCCTTTATGCAAACCGCATGTTCTGTCACGTTTTCGTTAGCTGTGGCCAATAAAGTAAGGGAGTTCAACTCCTCTTTGTATATATTAACGCCCTGGTGCCGTGAAGTGAAACATATCTTAAACTCTGACTGTACTTTACGCGGATGAAATGTGACTCGAAGCCCACCGAAAGGATCCGTCCAATAAAGTTCACCCTGGTGACAGGAGGTTTCTGTACTGATCACAGATGGCGTGTCCTGATGAGGAAGACCGCTGAGAGAAAGCAACAAATAACCGAAATGTTAAGGCGTGTAGATTATTCCTAAATGTCCTAATGGCTTTACAGGTTCCCATTTCGTAACTAAAGCGATATTGAATATGGGTAGTTATCTTTAAGAGCTTCTATAAAAAAAAAATTGTCATTATAGGAAGTTTACTAAACAGAGCACTTTATATGTGCATCACAATTATGATGTCGGCAGGGGCCAAAGGATCTTATCGTAAGGCTCATTCTTCTTTTACGCATGACAAATTATAAGAACATTCTCCACATTTTATTTTAATAACTCAACTATACTTTTTAACCAGTATATCTGTCAGTCTGACACACAGGAAATATCTATTTCCATGTTTTTTGTAAATTATTTACTTGGGAAAAACCAATTGACATATGCAGCGATAGAAGCTCGTGCGATGTTCACATTAACTGTAGAAAGTGCTGTTTCGAAAAGCACATTCTTAACGTGGTTTTGTTTCCGTTAATCATTACGAGCATGTGTCTTCCAAGTTCTTTAGAGCAAGGTTAAACAATCATGAAAAGCAACCAAAACAATGGCGAAGCTGTTTGCGGCAAAATACCAAATCCGCGCTCGCAAAGTTCTTTGTATTGCGTGCTTTCAAACAATGGCATCCTCGCGTACAAAAGCCACGCACGTGCCACAAGAGGCTGGCTAATGCGTTGAAAAAAAAATAACACAAATATGAATAAATTACTTTAAAAAGTGCTTTAACGACTTCATGCAAAGAAAAATCAAAGAACACAATGATAAAACTGATACTCCGAGCGCCACTAAAACCTGCCTGCTTTTGATTCACTTCTTTTTCACGTTTTTTCAGAGGTCTATCGCTAGTTTAGAAGTTGCTGAGCTTTGGCAGATTGATAATATTAGTTTACAATTTTAAATGACGATATCAGAGGCGAGTGAAAACGACAGTACATGTCCAAATCTTGTCTTTTCAAGTGTCTAGATTTCTTCGTTAGGAAGATTTTGCTAACCCGAGTTAAATTAACACGCATTTTTTTCCATACGCAATGCACTATGTCAACAGTGCAGAGCATGCACGAAAGCGATGACTGACGTATCATTTCAACCACTTAGAGCAAAAGTCTTTTTAACGGAAGTTTGCAATGAAAATGATAACTTTTGCTTATGGTCATTATTGCTCTGCGAAGAATTCAATCATTATTGCCAGCAGTAATCAAAAAATACTTTGATCCACCATTTTAGATGCACCTAACAGTTTAATAAACTAAGGATAATATCCATCTTTGCAACTGCCACGAGTTGCTCGGATGAACAAACCTTTAATTAGTGCTGGTTGTTATTCGCATCAAACTGTTAAAATACGCTATCTCTTACCTTCCTGTCCAAATACAGCCCTCTTCCACAATCGTAGACCAAACGTAGCCACAATATACAAAGTTAAACCAACAGATTACAATCCAGCAGTCTTTAAAAGAATCCATTGCTTGCTCGCGCGGCTCACGACTTAGTTCTAGACGGCTGGTTAGTGAAGCCAGCTGAAAACACTGATATTAATTACTACTTGGAATGGCACGAGGCACTAGTCCTGTAATAACCGCAGTTTCGATGAACTGTCCAATAGCAGGGCGCTTTCTTTCCTCCTGGGAGAGAGATAATTCTGTTATTGTGCGAGAAAACAAAACAACTGATTCAAGTGCCCAGAGGTGCTTATGACTTGTGGCCTGAATTTGCATATGAATACAGCAGGCTTTTAAGGGCGCGTATTTGTTGTGTAAAGTTGCTTTTATGCGTCACAGGGTCTTTGCGACAGCTTGTCACAGATTTAGCTCAATGAGAGAAGAAAAATAGCCATGAATGTGCTTTTATGCATACATTCGACACAGGCCATTTGCCTTGCGCGTGCCGGCAAATCGACCTCTTTGCCGCTCAGTTTGCTCCATGAAACAGTTTTCATCAAAACCATGCTGATTGAATGCTAATTCCCAGCAAAGGATGTTCAACGAAATATCTTGAATTTACGTCTCCAGAAAATTTTATGAACAAGCCATTTTGAACATTCACAGATCTTAACATTTTGCCCAAAGCTGTAAAACTGCATTACTGGTACAATATATGACCAGCAGTCGATTAACTACAATTCTCAAGCTTTCATCTAAAATTAGCACCTACGGTACAGAAACCATTAAAACAGATAAAACACTCGAGGCAAAGTTGGGACGAAATTGATTAAGATTTAATAATGCAGTATTTCATAATCCTTACACTAGCTTGAGCTCATTTTCTTCGAGAAACAACAACTACACTGCAGCAAGAAACGAGACTGCAGTAAAGGATAATTTGCATTTGAAAAGAATTTCTGCATTGCTTTTTCGAGATTTGCAAGTGTATGTGATACTCAGTTTATCTCGTTGCCGAGGCAAAACAGGTAACTAGTCACTGGAGGAAAAATCACCTGTGGTTACCCTGTAAGTAAATAGAAAACCTCAAAATTCAACAGTCAGCCTGTTTGAAGAATGCACCCGTGATATGGAACATATTCACTTTCAAGTCAATATCCTCTTGTAAGTACTGCTTTATAGTGGCGCATAGATTTTAAGGCAATTTAAAATAGCGAATGAGTTCTTTACATTTTATACGCCAATTTCACTCGTAAAATTTTAATAAAGTTTTTACCCAAGATTGATTGTTTACTCAGAAAAGTAATAATTCAGTGTAAAGAAGAGGTTTTTAATATTAATCAAGACGAATTCAGGGGGCCACTTCTGTCCTTTGCAATATTTAAAAGTGAGCCGGAAATATGCGAGAAACATTACAGATCGTTATTTCAAACGCGCGCGCAGCTAGCGGGAGACTAACTTTCAACGGTTCTCTTACGACAGATTTCCTGAAAAGTGTTACTTGCTCGTTATAGAACTTATTAGCTTAGGGATCTAAGTGCCTCCTCTATCTATCGAAATAACTTTTTGGTAAAGTAAATTTTAAAATGAATTGCATTCAGTTGATGACTAGACTGTGCTTACAAAGAAAATGGGCGTGTGGAACTTAGGCCCGGTACAGAAGCCGTACTTCACATGAATAGAATTGAATTCAGTGTAAAGTACGGTTTTTGAATCAATTCGAAGCGGCTAATTGAAGCCGTTCTTTAAGCCTAGCTTAGCCGTGATTAACGGTTGCGGACCGGCGTTGATTCAGACGTCGAACTTTTCATGAGCCGAACCAAATGCAACTAGTTTACCGAAATAAGTGTTTTTTCCCTTTTTTCAAAAAAAAAAAATTAGACTGGCGTTTGAATCAATTCAGCCGGCCTAAATTAATTTGAGTCGTCCTAAATTCGAATTCGATTCGCCTCATGTGAAGTGCTGCATCTGAACCGGGCCTAAGGCTTTCGATATTTTACTGTGTTAATTTCTGAAAGGCTGAAAGGTTTCCGCGGCCGTTTATACACTGTTCTTTATTTTTACCTTCACGTTGAACGATACCCTAATCGGCTTCTTCGTTTAGGTTATAATTTTGTAACTGTGATTGGTAAGTTTGAGAGGATCCTGCCAAAATACTGACCCCTCCTATTTTAAAAGCAAGTGAAATCGGTCCCGGATATACTTTATTAAACTGGACTCTGATAAAACTGAAAGCCGAATTTTGGTGAACTTTATCAACTGTAATGTTTATACTTAGAGAGGAAATTTACAACGAAACCTTCCATGAAATTTCCTATTTTTTTTCGAAGAAAATTTTGTAAAAAACAAAATGCTTAACATGAAACCGAATTATTCTTTTCATTACTATTTAACCTTTTTCGCTTACCTCTCTGAAGCTGTTTGGCTCCCGCAATTACTCCACACACATTGGCAACTGCAAGCAACCGCACTTTGTTAACAAACTAACCGCTCAAATCAGGTAATCTACTGTTATTGACACATGCTGTCCGAAATCTTAACTAACAACACGTGTACAACATCTGTTCCTCTCTGGCAACACGCTGTTTTGAATATTAACAATTAAGGCATCTTTTTTACGGAATAAACACGTGCGTGCATAACTTGTGTTGCCATTGTGTAGAAACAAAATAGTTTTGTGAATTCGATTAAGAACAAACTTTTTTTTCTATTCATGCACTCGTGTTTAAAACAAGCTATAAATCCCTCATTCGTTTCTTAAGAAATTAATTTTTTATGTTCTCCTCTATTGAGGTTTCAATTGATATTATATACCTGCGAGAGTTAATAATACATAAGGATGTGGCTAAAATCATTGTTTTTAAAAGTTAACCGCAGTGAACAATCATGAATCTTTAAAAACAGATATCTTATTTCAATTTTCTTTGTAATTGTAAAGGCAATTTACAATTGGCACCTTTAGATTGAATTATTCAAAAAAACAAAAAGAAAAAAGAAAAAAAATCAAAATTGCATTAAGTCTGGGCTATTCCAATTCCTATTTGTACAACAAAAGATGTAATATGTTGCTCCAATGGTTATATTTATCATTTTTTGATTATATAATGTTGCTGCTTGTTGTCATTGCCAAAGTCATTCATCATGTCTAAAAACGTTGAGCATTCGGTGGACAAAACGCCAAGGGAGCTCATGGATAGGTTTACAAATTTCACACAGCTGTAATTTCTACTTATTTCTTTGATCAAGTTCAGATATTTTTCCTTTTTTACGCACTGCATTGTTATAATAATTAATAATAATAATAATTTTTTATTTACAATTAATTTCGCCTAAAACACCTACTACTACAACGACTACTACTACTACCAATACTACTACTACTACTTCTACTACTACTACTACTAATAATAAGATCCTATAAGAAGGACCCTAGACACCTAAGGCTATAGGAGATAGCTTGATGCTTTGGAGAATAAGGCTACCTATAGATGTGAGACATGCACACAATAATAATAATAATAATAATAATAATAATAAGAAGAAGAAGAAGAAGAAGAAGAAGAAGAAGAAGAATTTTGAACTTTTATTATTGATTATATCTATTTCCTCTTCTTTTATGTAAGGTTAAGTTACTTCTATTTTTTAGAATTTGTAAATAAATAGTTTTCTCTTTCTTCACTTATTATATATAGGATTGTTTTTGTTCTCTAATGAAGGAATTGTAGATAGTGTTTTGATGAATTGATTAGATTTTTTGTAACAGCAGGTTGATTGTAAATAGGATTTTAATTGAGGTTTTGTAATAAAGATTTTACCAATTTTTAAAAAAAATAAAATAATAAAATAATAATTAAAAAAAAAAAACAATAATAATAGTGGACTTAATTCATTCATAAGATAAAAAGTACACATCTTTTGTTACAAAGCTTCCAATTTTGATTAACTAAGTTACATTGTAGTAATTCACTACAGAGGATAAATTATATTTTTAAAAAATCCAAAAGTTATTGACTAATTTCCAAAATATTAATTACAAAGGTAAGACATTAAGAATGAGGCGAATAAAATAGGAGTTCTTAACCCGATCCGTGTTTAATTTCGGCCTGTGACTGGATTTGTGTCTTAGATAATGAAGAGAAAAGTAAGAGTCTGTTGGATTTCCAGCTTGTGCCATGTCCGTTCCTCTAAAAGCCGCTAGTTCAACTAATCGCAAAATTCAGTGTTTCTACAAACAATACACCCATTCAGAAAGTCACATATTTATATTCGCATAAGCTGAAAATGATGTAAAACTAACGAATAAGAAACGAGCCGAAAATTTTGTAAAAAGAGGGCCAAACAAGAAAAGCGGGTACCCTTTCCTAAATGTACATTTGCGGCGGAGAGGTGGCCGTTCTTAAATGGCTGAACCGATTTAACCATGATAATTTGAAGCTGCAAATAACGCTGTTTTCATGTGGCTTTCGATTTTTTGGGAACGTACTATGATGAAGACCGCTGACCCCAATTTGAAATTTCCAATTTCAGTTTTCACAGCTGAGCCAGCAATCAGTACTGGCTGCATGGCTGAAAACTTGTACATTGATAAAACATAAAAAATACATGTTTTTTTTATACTTTGAGTAAACGATGATAGATTTTTAATGGCAGCTGGATCGCGCAAAATGCATTTTAAACTAATTTCAAAATTTTTGTGCCGTTGCCATGGTAATATCAACTTGACTTAAAACTGTACTTTGACAAACGTCTTGAATCCAAAGTCAAATAGTGATGAAAATCGTATAGCGATCGGACAAGGATAAATTCATTTTAAAGGCAATTGGAAAATATCTGGTATCTGAAAAACTGTATCGAAACAACAGGCCCTACTGTCAGATCTACCTAACCAATTTTGAAAGTATATTATATACTATGACAGTGTAGCCAAGTAGGCTCCATTTAATGTACAAACTCTGTACAACACTGTTTTAGCTGAGGGCATGTTTAAAACAAGGTTCAATCAGATAACATGTTAACGTATTACTAAACAGCAAGTGAGTGATAATATACTAACAAGTTTGTATCGCTGATACCTTACGTACTAGCTTTAGTGCAATGCAACATCAGTATTCAAAGTAAGACTTGTATGCCGAAAAACTAATCGAATGAAGCGAGCAAAATTGAGTAGAAAAAGATAAGATCTGATGAACCTTTTAACCTCTTCACTGCTTCAAACTCAGCTATTCTCTACTTATTTCAATACATCTCATCAGTACCTTACCTCACCGGCCTCAGAACCATCAGTGTTAATGAACACTGCTCAACGGAATAGTCAACTTAATATTCTTTATCTGTCAGTTTTAAGTCGTTAACGTAAATACCGAAAGTTTTTTTCAAGTTTCTCTAACAGTACGTTAAGTTTATCTATCAGGTATTCTGGGTTTATTAAATAGTTCTTGAACATGCTAACATAACTTAGTGTTTTACACCGCGTCTTGCTCACTGTAGTCAGTATACTGATGCATGCGGTATCTATCCTAAGTGGCTTACCTACAATAATGGCGGAGCTTATTCCTAAACTAAGTCAATATAAAATCATGAAAAAAGGGTGGTAAACAGTTAAACTAGTGACATATCCCTGGAGCATACACGGGCAAGCAATCGGTATGAAAAGACCATCACAGATGTATTAGAAAAGGGATAAGGGATCATGTACCTACCTAAAGAAATGTCGTTGTTGTTGTTGTATACAGAATTAGACGTAAAACCACATGCGCTCGGTCGAGAAACTCACACAGCGCCTAAAGTACTGAAATGAATATATCACACTGTGCTTGGAAAAAAATAAGACAAAAATACAATGAAAACAATAGCCAAACCCATACGAAAATTATTTGGTCGTTTTTGACAAGCTTGCCACGCTTCCTTTGAAAAGGTTAACGCAGAGAAATTCTTGAGGTCTAAATCCGCATATCTGAAGCATTCCTATAATTATCAAAAGTAGTATTAATTGGCTTTTGCAACGAATCACTGCGATACTGCTCTAAGTTTATTGTAATTGGAATCCTTTGTTTAAATTGTTGCTTTAAGTCATTGCAGGTTAAAACTTCAGATAATTAAGTTCCCTGGAGCTCGATAGCTATGTTTTTCAAGCCAATGATTGGTGTGATTGATTGATTTGGTTAAGCCGACGTAAGATGACGTACGGCTGTAGCGTTTGATAGCGATGATTGACAAGCTCGGCTACGCAGTTAAACATGACTAGAAAACGAGAAAAGGCTGGATATACTTTCACAACGTTCCGGTGCTCTGCTCGTCTTGCTAAATGGAATCAGGAATGTTTAATCTTATTAAGGAAAACGCGTTTCACTGCCGCTTGATATCCTATAAATCAACTAAAGGAAGAGTCTCGCTATCAGAGCCCGCGTGTGTAGGGTCAGCGCAAGACAACCCTGTAGGAGGATTCCCAAAGAAATTAAGTCACGTGACCCGATCAAACAGGTCTGATGGTTTCTGAAGGTCTTTGGTGATGCCACCTTCATGGCTAAAAAATAGAACCAATATTACGTCACGAATTAAACAGCATCTCATTTCAGGTTTTTAGCCGGGTAGAAACCTGCTTCACGCATTGTCACACGCATGCGCACTAAGGTCAACAAGCCACCAAGCAAACGTAACTACATACATTTTAAAAAGCAAAATGAAAGCGTGCCAGATTTCCACACGGAGTGTCATCATCGCTTAGTTCTAAGTTTCTTTTATCCTTTCGCACAGGCTAGTAACCATAGGTATTTTTGAATAATCGATTGCTACTCAGTCTATCCTTAACGATACCGCTAGGCATTAGCATTTTTTAATGAAATAGCTCACTTACTAATCCAAATTTCAACAAAGTAAATGTAGGATGAGTAAACAATCTAAGTAAAATAACAAGATTGCATCAAGTTAAGTTATACTGAAGACATTTGCATCATTACTACTATTCAAGTAAGGAAGAGGAAACCTGCTAGTAAACGGGCATATCGGTACTTAGCTATAGATGCTGGTACTTTGCTATGCCATTGAAAGACCCATTACACGTCTGAAAAAGAGCAATACAGCTCCTTAAGGTTTTGGAATAGCCGAGTTTCTCAATGCGGTAAAGTTTCAGGGCTTTCTTTTGTTTATATTGGTTCGTGGGTCTATTTTAAAAGAGCTGTTATGAGGGTTTATTGTGTTTCGTACAATGATTGTACAACATATTATTAGGCACCACACGGCGGCACTGATGCACCCTTTAACACAAGAAAACCTTTTACAAAACGTGAAAACATTTCACCCATTTGTCCAAAAAAGGCCAAATTATGTTAGAATACTGCAGCGAGATCTCACATTAGAATGACTACATATAGTTCGTTACGACCTCTGCGGCGGGGGGAAAAGTTCAAGAAAAGGACAACTGAATTCAAGACTTGAGTAACTGAATTGAGCAATTAAACGGTTAACTGACCTTATTTTTCTCACTTCAAATCTTTAGAGAATTTGGCAAGGTGATGAATAGACTCTTCCATCAAACCCGAGTACAGCAATCAACCAAGCTACTCTGAGTATTGATGGTTTGCTAATCCAAACTCTTGTCGAAAGATTAAGTTAATTTATATTTCTGCTTACAATATCGGACCAGTTAATTAATAAATACAGACCCCAGTCTTCAGTGTTTTGTTTTATTCAAAGGTAGGTATTGTAAGGTGGATTAATTTGTTAATTATGGCCGCGTCAAAAGGAACATTCTATTTACCATATTCCATATCGGCCTTCAAATAGTTAGGCAGTAAATGCCACTTTTTAATCTTCATTATATGACCTTATATGGCTTGTTCACACAGATTCAAAACTGTTCAGTACACATTTCAAGTATACAGATCTGTTTACTTATACCGCGTGGGAGTTAACGGATCTCTTGTAGTCCCAAAAGTGCCCTACTTTAGGATTCCAAAATAATGAGACTCGCAATAGGTAGTAACGTGCGTATTACATGCACTCACTGAAAAAAGGCTGCATCTTTCGCCTCAATTTCGCGATTCAAGAAAATTGGAAAGGACTGGAGGGATGTCAAGACCCGTAGTTTTATTTTGTTCGAAGACAGGTGACAATTCCTACAACATGGAATAGTAAATACCAGTAAGAACAAAACAAAAAATGAGACGAGCGCGTACCGATTTTCCATGTACAGGAAATAAAATTTGAAACAACACAAGGGGAACTGGGCTTTGTAGCATTTCTCGCACGTTTTTTCGTTAGTTCAATAACTACACAACAGTTCAATAACCAAGGTTTAAGTTCGCTGGTGTTTTTCGTTTGCTAATTTCTCTCTGCTTGTTTTTAGCCCTGCAGTTTTTTTCTTTCTTTTTGCTTTGTTGTCGTTTAAGACTGGTTTCATTCTTGTTGGCTTAGGATGCGAGAGAACGGGACATTTTTTGTAGTTAGTAGATATTAGGACTATTCAGAATAACAACGGCCCCAAACTAATATTCTTCGCACACCCAAAGTTTTTTAAATGCGTATACTTTATTTCTGTTGAATTCAACACCTGCTATGATATTTGCTTCTTAAAGCATTTATTTGACAAAAGCGCATGTTATTATCCTATACACTTTGTTGATAGAAACTGGGCAGGAAGTTCCTTTCCTCCAGTTCGTCAGGAGCGCAACGAGTTAGTCCTCTTATTTTTCCTTACAGTAGTAGATGATAATTCATTCATTATACGATATTGACAAACTGTTAGCAGTTCGTAATAAACCAGAAAAAAAGTGGCTTCATGCTTTTTCCAACGTCAAGGAATTTACGAAACCTCGTCTCAGTGGCGATACATATTGTTGTTATATCCCTTGACTTTCACTCAACTAAACAGGGACTGTAATTGGTTGATTCTTGGTCACATGGCCTTGACTAAAATCAAATGTATCACGATCGTGATACATTACAGCAAGTCATCAAACAATGGTGGAACCGGAGGCAAGTGGCGTGACAGAAGGCGGGAAAAACACTGCCAGTTTTCTTTTTCACGAATGAACACAACAGTCGACAAACACGAAGCCTCAAGCTATTAAAAAAGCAACGATTCTCAGAAGAGGAACAGCAGCTAGTGGAGGAAAAAGATGCAGAGAATATAAGGAAAGTACTTTGTAAATCATTCATTCAGTGGTTCTGAGAATTAAATTTGTGTTCTTATAAAGTATCGAGTCGACTGTCTTGATTCGCTCCGATTATTCTTTTGTTGCTGTTGAAATGAAAGTCTAGAAATATAACAAAATAAGGATTCTCAGGAAAACAAAACTAACTGCTTCTCTCGGGATTTGACATTAAGTGTATAACGTACTCCCCTTTCTAGAATATCACCGTCGATCGAGAAAATGCTATTAAAAGCCATTAAAAATGAATATATCATACACAAATAATTACGTGCGTAAACTACATGTAAAGGCAATTGGCTTCCGGTAACGCCGGACACTCGCTCGCTCGGCGTTCGTCAGCATAATGTTTATCTCCCCTGAAGTTCGCCGTAAAAATCATGAGAGGTTTGTTCCTCTATTACTGCCCGCTCATTTGAACGGTAAAACCATGCAATTTCAGTGGAGCAATTTTACAACATAATTGTAGGGTCTGTCTGTTTACTAGGGTCTGGGACGGGGTGGAAAGGTTAACTGGCGATGATCGTAGTTCCCACTTACAGCTGTAAGTTTTTCTTTCTGTCCCCAACATAAGACCTTGGTTGTGATGAAATAACGTAGATCATGCCAAAATCTGTTTTCCCTTCTTGCATAGCAAAACAGCTTGGTTGTGTTTAGTTGTCATAGTTCACTACGCCAAGAACTGTTTTTCCTCCTTGCTTAGCATAAGAGCTTGATTATGGCAAGTTATTGTAATTACACAGGGCCCTTCTTCCCAGGGCTCTCCGTCAACTTGAACCGGGAGGGACCTGGTATCCTTCAGAGTGAGCTGTTGAAAACGAGGCAAAGAGTTGACAACCGGAGTGACGAAAACTGGGAGAAATTTTCGCGTTTAAAACAAAAAAAGGCTCCAAAAAGACAATACTTATTGGTTTTCTATTGCAATACAGTGAAACCTTTATTAAGCGGACACCCTCGGGGAATGCTGTGGTGTCCGCTTAATACAGGGTGTCCGCCTAATACAGGTTTCGATAGATAACGTCATATGAAGTGTCAAATGCCATTCAAATGAACAATGAAAAGGTTCAGAATACTCCCCGAGAGAGACAATGATGATATACGTTTGCATTAATTTCTTTGTCAAAGTGGACCAATTGATTGTAGTACCAGTTGTTAATGGAGGTGTCCGCTTAATACAGGTTTCATTTAAAGTAAATAAGGGAAATAAATTGGGGGGCTTCGGCTACTGTCCGCTTAATACAGGGTGTCCGCTTAATACGGTGTCCGCTTAATACAGGTTTCACTGTATACATGTTGCTGTTAATTTTTCGAGCATACTGAAGTCAGTTTGAAATGCAGTAGCATCTAAAGTAAAGTGGGACAACAGGCCGCCGAGTAAGAAGCCAGACACGTTTTCATCCCTACAAACAGCTCTGATTTACTGCTTGGATCATGTAAGGTGTACTCGGGAGTCAGGACTGTAGCCATTAGAAGCCCCGAAGGTTATTGTCTCCATAGAAGTTACAAATCAAATCAAACGCAACCATAAATGTACATAAAAACATCGTCTTTTCGCATATAGCCTTGGATAATCAAGGCGGTAGAGGAAAACATAAACTAATTTATATTATTAGGAAGAAAGTTAGAGAAGAAAAGGAAAGGAAAAGGAAGATATATCTATATAAATGACACAAGAAGAATGGACTGAAGTTTTTACAATACAACGTTTCAAAATTACAAACTTGTTCATTTTTACATTTCATGTCACCTTGCTTAGTTTATTACATGTAGTTAAAGTAGGTGTGTCAACAAAAGTATCCTCCACTTTTCAAGTATGTAAAAGGAGCTGATGTAAAGAAGCCTTAAATTTCTCTTTACGGAGGAGACTATGGCATCAAGACTATCCAGGAAAACCAGCAGTAACCGGTCCAAAAGTCGCGATCAGTAACAATCATACAGCAAGACATTATCTAATCACATAAATTACAAGACGGCATCACTTCAGCACTTCAAAATTTACCATTCAGATCAAAGTCAAGGTAAAATAGATATAAGGTTTTATTATATAAAAAACAATGAAGAACCAGGTGAGCTTTCGAGAGAAAACATGATATCTTCACACGTGGAAAATAACATGTTATTTTCACATGTGAAAAGATCACCGTTGCTAAGGCTACATAATAAGTCGCGCCTTTTGCAGCAAAAAAATATTTAAGTGAAATGGTTTGGATTTTCGTTGGTGTTTATATAATAAATAGAACATCACATGGCCGCTTGGAGAGACGAAATTTCTCTTCTCGTGTTCAAAAATATTTCACTCGTTCGCTGTCTTCACTCGCTCGAAGAGAAATTTTGTATCTCCGCGCGGCCATGTAAATCTCTATTGGTTTTAAAACAAACAACAAGTACAAATAAACGCAACAAGTGTCCTGTTACAACCTGCTTACCTTAATCGTTTTTGCCTGACCAAGACGCAAAGGGTCGGCCATATTAACTTGTAATCTAGCAATGTGAAGGGCGGAATACAGACCGGCTACCTCCAGTATGCCATCATTAATACTGCGAAGGAAAAAGGAATTGTTATACACGTGATTATATACCATATCATTACGAAAATATATTTCTCAAAAGCCCTTTTTGAGGGGTTTATTCTTGGAGGGGCTTATATTCGGAGGGGCATATATACGAAGGGAAATTTGCGTGACAAAATCGGCTAGGCTTATACTTGGATAGAAATTTGCGTCTCAAAATTTATTGGGCTAGCTCAAAGTTGGAAAAAGATTTACGTCGGTACTTTGCACGACGTTTTTACTGAAACTCGCCGTGAGGACGTATACCTTTCTTAAACGCAAACTTAGCATACAACCGCAAATTACTTTATTGAAAACGCAATACCCAGTTCAAAGGTAAGGTAACGCCAATAATAAAGTATGGTACAACGTTCACACGAAAACATGAATCTAAACAAAAACAAATTGAAGCCAAGAGTGAACTACGCCGACACAGCAATTAACTGTGATACTTTTTTACTACATCATTTGGCACACGTAATAGTTCTTTGGCAAGTGAAAAATATTGTGTGTTACTGTACCTTTTTGCTTTGTTTTGTTTTGCATTTGAGGGCAATTTCCAAGGATAAACCCCCGGGTCTTATAGTCGCAGAGGCGATTTTACGGAGGTTTTTTTGTATTACGAGTTTGCGGGGCTTTTAATTGGAGGGGCTTATCAAGGAGGGGCAAATTCTGACCGTTCTCGTTTTGCATCGCACAAATACAGAATAAACACTTAATACAATGTGTAAGGTAATGTTTTAGGCATAAATGTTTAAGGTGATTCGCTAGTTTTGCACTGCGCATCACTTACTGCGCCTAACAAGATGGCCGCCATGAAAAGAGAATCTGAAGTAACATTATTAAAATGAAGTTGACTGAAGAGAAACGCTATTGGAATTTTCTCTTGCGATTGTTTCTTGCCGAGATGAGACTCAATGTGTTGGGAATGTGCATTGTAAGCAATACGCGTATTGCTGAGTTCGACTTCCTCATGTAGAACCTCGATGGTGCATGTTAGACTTGTGCTAACTCACTTTAATTTTTTTTCAGCGCCATCTTGCGTCCTTACTGTGATATCTCGATGTAAATTCCGTAAAAACGGTTGTTTTTTAATGCTTTCTTCCCCCTTCCACACACATGCCATTTTGTAACTCGCCCCAGTCCTCTCTCAAACATCGGAGGAAATGCATGGATGCACATTTTCTGCAGTAAAAACAAGTACGGTGACCCCCATTTTTTACTTTACGATTTTAACACGAACAGTGCTTCCTTTCCATGAGAAAAAAAATTGGCATAAATCTGTGTTCAGTTTCTTGGCAAATTTAATAAATTAGACGGATTGAGCTATGAAGGGTCGAATAGCGCGTGTCCAATTTAAGTCTACTTTGGAGCGTAAAGTGAAAACAAGGACATTAAAAGGCGTTTTTCTGGTGCACAAGTGGATAAAATATACATTTAAGTCAAATTCTGTGCGATACCACATGCATCATGAAATAAATCTCTGCTTTTTGTCTAGTTTTAGGCTGCGCGCGGTTTTTGCCAAGGGATCTTGAATAGCCGTATTTGTCAGCATTGTGACGTGAAAACGAGCACTGCAACACCCACTTTTCAATACTTTTTTAACATCCTCTTGACTTGTTCTATCAGTGTACTAAGTTTCATCTACAATCTATGTTAGGTTCTTTTATGAATCACCTTAAGAGCGAATGCACAGAAAAATCGAGCAAACCGTGGCCACAGCTCAAAACCTAACCTACCCTCATTTTAAGTCTGTAATAAGGTTTTAATGAATTTATAACACTGCTGAGGTTTAATTTTCAAAATGCGGCCGAGTTTGGGAATTATTTGAGATTTTCGATTTCAACGGTCTGCGGGCCTAAAATTAGCCGCCGAACAAGGCAATATAGCCTAGCGACAGAAATGAGCTGAATTTCATAAACGAGCGAATATATTGCCAATCTTCCACTTAAATCTCAAAAAGCAGATATCTAACAATTTCTGAATGGCTTATTTTTTAGATTTAGAGTATAAAATATCGACGAACCAGCAGAATTTTGAAACGTAATTCGCATAATGCTTATAAATACAACAATTTACCGCTAAAACCAAAATCGAATTTTCTATATGGGGGAATTCTCCAAATCACCCCAAATCCCGCTTACTACCTAATGAGATATAGTACTTCAACATTATCTGAAAGTTAGTCTGGTGTTCTTGCGAACGCTTGTGAAATAGATTGATTATTTTGAAGTTATTTTGCCCCAAACAACTGCTAATTGACCCCAGGGTCAATTGACACGTGCACGTCACCTTAGTTTTATGCATCGATTTGAGCTCGTTAAAAGGGAGAAACTAACAAGATTCTTTTAATATGTACCAGTTTTAATGAAATACACGCAATCTTCAAAAGGAGAGGCCGTTCAATGGGTAATTTCTGTTTTTGAGATCTTGTAGATTGTACCATGGCGTCTGCGAGTGGACCTGAGTCTAGGTCTGTTTTCCCGTGACTGCGAAATCAGAATAACATCATGAAATAATTCTCTCTCGAACCTTCGTAAATGAATCAGCTTTGCAGTGCCTTACCTGTGATAAAAAGTGGGCAGAATAGGAAAACAGTCTAGCGCAATTTGGATCCTTTGCAGCACGTAGTGTATTTGCTAAGCGGCTTTAAAAGTCAGGTGAGTAACTAATTAAAATTAGTTACTCACCTCCGATTGCGTGACCAGGCAATTATAGATTGTCTCCAGCGAAAAATAAGTGCATGTGTAACCAAAGCTTTCGGGATACAGTAAATTCATTTTCCTGTATGACCAGGTGTCCTTTTGTCCTATTTTAAAAGCGGTTAACTAAGATGATTAGCAAACATACTGTCCCACTTTTAAAAATGGTACAGTAACTGAATGTTCTGTTCTTCTGATTTTACCCCTAACCCCGGAGTGTTCAGAAGATATATTTGCACTACGCATGAAAGGCAAATGGATTAAATTTTAAGGTTCACGGCGGTTTTAAGGCATGGGTTACCAGTGGATTAGTCAGACTTGTCATAAGGTGCATTGAACAGAAAATTACAGGCATGATATCTCTGCTATTGTATGTCCATTAAGTGATTTTCCATCAAACATTATTTTTTTACTTTTTTACCCCAAAAGTTTTTTTCGTTCAATTCTTATCTATGAGATGTAAACTTAGTTAAATTTCTGTAATTCGTTGTTAAATGCAAATCTGCAAACAACTAAGTATTTAATTTTGCGTAAAAGCTACATGAAATTGTACTGTTTAGCCGTAAATCATTAAAAAGAGAAAGCATCATGTTTTCTCTTTTCAAGTCTAGTAGGACTTAAGCAATGGCATTGCTTAAGTCCTAGTAGTTCTTCTCCATGTCTGCTAAGGGGGAAATAGTTTGCTCTTTTCAAGAAATTGTTCTTGCCCATTGCGGTTTCAAACCAAGGATAGCAGCAAGTCTGTCGTGGTCATATACTGCTACTTCAGTGCAAACGAAGCATAGGCGCACAAGTCAGCGCTTGCGTTTAGTCAGGTGCCGAAAATGAAGTGGAAACTTAACCCTAAGGGCGTCCATGTTCGCTCCGGCTCGAAAAGGTAGAATCAGTTGTGCAGTAAAAAGTAATGCGAAAAACCTGCGGGGGCTGGGGAAAGAAAGGCGTCTTATTTTTCTTTTTGCTTGTTCTATTTTCGCGACGTGCTACAGGTTACGAAATACTGACAAGCTCAATATATGTCTTCACCACCGAGAGTCACTTGCCCTTAGCACGCCCCTCACGTATCATGTTTCGTTCCTAAAGTTATTTCAAAGCACAGAACCAAACCTAATCAGCGGCCGAAGGCAGAAAAGGGAATGAGCAAACGGATGTCACAGCATATTTTGCAAGAAACCGGTATCCTTGTGCCTATCGGCTCAGGAACGATTGATTACTACTAGAATAAATACCAGGGTCAGAATTTGAGTGCTACAATGGGAGGGAAGGAAGAAAAGAAAACCGCCGCGCGCACCTGTTAAGTCTTTTATAAACTTTCTCGACCTGACGGTCTCAAAGAAGGGCGTTGTGGCTGCTATTTAATTTACAGTGTCTGTTGCAGGAGTCGAATTAATCCTACAGCAACTGGAAACGTGGCCACGCCTGCTGAAACTGAGATTGCTTGTAGGATATTCGGCTATAGCTTGGTATATTCACGAGCGCGTTTTGTCCAGTGAACTGAGCGCGTAGTTTTTCTTAACGAAGGGATGGGGTGGGTCAAGTGAATATTTCGGGGAACGTTTGCTCTCTTTAGTGGGGGGGGGGGTATATTTGTTGATATCAGGAGTTCTGGCCTGGATAGAGTCGTTGTAAAGCTATTTTTGCTTCGGGGTATCGGTTTCCCGGAAGCTGAGCAAGGAAAATTCAATGGTGCATTTATGGAATAATAATAGAGATTCTCATGGTCTAACAGTGCGAAGATTAGACTTCTGGTAAGGTGGCAACGATCAAGGCCCGCATTATAATTCATGATAATTGAAGGTCATGATGTGGAAAAAGCGACTGAAATGGTGGATGCCATGCAATCCTCTCGGGTGGGGGCGGGGGCACCTGGTCTTAACGGTTGCCCCTTCGACAGAAGGCAAGCATGCCCAGATTGTCCACGGGTTGCTAAATGAGACCGTCCCTTTCTTAGTACCCGTTCCCTGTCTTTTTATTAGACCCGGGCAAATTTCTCGAAATTGCACCATCATTTTGAGCTTTTAAGCTTCCAAAGTCCAACAATAATAGCGCATGTTCGCGACGGTTTTTTAAGTCAGTCAAGTTCTTAAACCAGACCTTAAACGGCCAGTTTTAAGTGTCGATAACAGTTAAAAAGGCATACAAGCCCCATGCAAAAGACAGTGGGAAGGAAGTACACATCGGTGATGGGGAAAAAGGACTAGCCCACAGTTATTTAGGGGTGGATCTTTCGAAACATTCTTATACTCTTGGACAGATATGCATTGTTTAAAGTTTTAGACAAACCAGGTGTAAATTTATAGTAACAAACTGTTAAATATACATCAGCAAGATTTTTGCGAATCCTATTTTTCGCTGGAGACTATCGTTTACTGGCTGGTCACGCAATCAAAGGCAACGTACTTTCCCACGTTTGTTTACTGACCTTTCGCTCGGCAATACACTGCGTTCGACAAAGGATCCAAATTGCGCTGGAAATGTTTTGCCATTCGGCCCACTTTTTATCTCAGGTAAGGCATTGCAAAGCTGATTCACTTACGAAGATACGAGGGAGAATTATTTCTTGATGTTATTCTGATTTCGCAGTCACGGGAAAACAGACCTAGACTCAGGTCCACTCGCAGACGCCATGCTGCAATCTTCAAGATCTCAAGAACAGAAATTACCCATTGAACGGCCTCTCCTTTGAGGATTGCGTGTATTTCATTAACACAAGTACATATTAAAAGAATCTTGTTAGTTTCTCCCTTTTAACGAGCTCAAATCGATGCATAAAACTAAGGTGACGTGCACGTGTCAATTGACCCTGGGGTCAATTAGCAGTTGTTTGGGGCAAAATAACTTCAAAATAATCAATCTATTTCACAAGCGTTCGCAAGAACACCAGACTAACTTTCAGATAATGTTGAAGTACTATATCTCATTAGTTAGTAAGCGGGATTTGGGGTGATTTGGAGAATTCCCCCATATAGAAAATTCGATTTTGGTTTTAGCGGTAAATTGTTGTATTTATAAGCATTATGCAAATTACGTTTCAAAATTCTGCTGGTTCGTCGATATTTTATACTCTAAATCTAAAAAATAAGCCATTCAGAAATTGTTAGATATCTGCTTTTTGAGATTTAAGTGGAAGATTGGCAATATATTCGCTCGTTTATGAAAGTCAGCTCATTTCTGTCGCTAGGCTATATTGCCGTGTTCGGCGGCTAATTTTAGGCCCGCAGACCGTTGAAATCGAAAATCTCAAATAATTCCCAAACTCGGCCGCATTTTGAAATTTAAACCTCAGCAGTGTTATAAACTCATTAAAACCTTATTACAGACTGAAAATGAGAGTAAGTTAGGTTTTGAGCTGTGGCCACGATTTGCCGATTTTGCTCGATTTTTCTGTGCATTCGCTCTTAAGTTGTGGGAGGTGGAAGATTAGCACCGTATTGCTCACAAGTACCACTTTATTTACACAGCAGACTGAGTAGCATAACAGCACCACTCGCTTATAACTTGCCATAACTCAACCTACTTTCACTACGAATCCCTACCACGTGACCAGTGTATGATGCTACATGGGAATTTATTTTGTTTGTTTGTTTGGTTGCTTTTTCTTCACATTGTTCGGTGCAACATCGCCACTGCTGCAAGGAACCCTGTATTTTTTAGTGATTTTAAAACACAAGGGATGAAGTATCTGATAAATAGGGCAAATGTACGTTTGATTTGTTGATTTGAATATATTCTAGATTACTTTAACTTTTGTCAGTAGCATCCCTAATAATGTACATAGCTATAGCTTTTTATTAATATCATTATTACTATTATTATTTTCAATATTAATGTAAATTTTACAGATGAAGAGCCACCTTTCAGTGAAAATACTGTGATATAAAAGTCATTATTATTATTATCTATTATTACTAGATTGTTAATGAACTAACCTTGGAGGAGAGGGGTGTTCATGTTCATTACCCAGCCACAGTTCACAGCCCCCACACCAACTGTTTATATTCAAGACCACAATCCCTTCCAGTTCAGGTAAATCTATTTTCCTTCCATCCATTTCCAGCTGCAAAATGACAAAAAGATATTCAGGCTTGTGTGTGCGACATAGAAAAACTGCATAAAACACTTTTTGCAATAAGTGGTACATTTGATATTCAAACCCACTGCCAAAGATACCTCGCCACATACATGACAAAATGTAGGGACAACGTTCGAGTTCTGGGTACTTATTCCAGTCCCATCCCTTTCCAATCCCATATACACCTGTAGATCCCCCTATCAGGGCCCAGTTACAGTGCATCTACTGAATCTGTACCTCAACAAGTTCATGAAGGTCTTTACAATCTTGCTCCAGGACATCTCTGGCTCCATATAATCCATACACTGCCTGTTACAATATGAGAAGGAAAAGAAAAGAAAACTCTATTTATTACTATGGATAACAGCATGCACATGCATGGAAACACATAAAACGTTATAGACAAAACTTGAAAATATCCTTTAAAGATCACATCATCATCATCATCATCACCATGATCATCATATCATTAAGGCTCACATTCAAGCAGTAAGCTATTGTATGATTTTTTTCACAAGACTCAGTGTTAGAAGTAATTCAACCAACTGATCGTTTTTTTTTTGTTCTCAGGAGGAGGAAGGCTAAAACAGGAATGATCGTGTTCACAATGTTACCTTGTTAATGATACGACTTGTAAATAAAGATGGCTGGCTTTCACGATGAAGATGAAAGTTCAAAACGACTTTTGCATCACAACCAACTGAAAAGTAATTATTCATCCAAAATACCTAAAGAAGTAGGAAGTGAAACAATTAACATTATCAAAAAGATGACATGGAATGAGCTTCACCCTTCTACTTCTTGTGTAAACACCTTCATGGACAAAGCACTATTACAAAGACAAAGTCAGCAAAAAGAGAGATAGGTTACGTGTAAAGCTTGCAAGACCAGGCTAAGAGGATAATAATAGTGTTATAGAATAGAGCAAGCATTCATTACAACCCGGCTACTTGCAAATGAAAGAATAGGACTCTTTTTTCTAGTCTCTCAAGAGGGCTGGTCACACTTTACTTCACTAAATAAAATGACAGTTGAATATTGATTTAGGTATGCACTCACTTTTTTATGTCTTCTAACATCAAAGTAACCCCTGTTACTTTCTATAGTTACTTTCCATCTATAAGAGAAAACAAATAAATGTCAAAATTTCTGTTCGTTTAACTCATTTTTTTTAGTCACCATTAACCACAGATATCATTCATCTTATATTGCTACAGTAAGGTAATAATGATAGTAATAACATATTTAACCTGGGTAAACCCGTCAGCTGAAGCTGTTATAAATGGGTGCCCTGGGCAACTAAAAAATGAACAATTAAACGAAAAAATAACAAAGTATACTGTCTGCTGACATTGGGTCAACAGTTGGTGGAAAAATTTCACATAAGACAGTAAACAATAGTCAGTTGAGGGCTGAGTGTTAGCCGACTGTTGGTCAACAGTCAGCCGACAGATTTTGGAGGGAGCTCTTCTTCCCTTTGTCCAAAGTTTCAAACCCAAACATAAGTTTGCACACCTTAAAATTTTACTAAGTTTGAGCTACCATAAAAATTGTAGTTACTAACTTTGATATGAACTACATGTAGAAAGAGCAGGAGCTTATTACTAGGATGCCTCATTCTCTATATGTCTGGCCATAAAATTTTAACTACAGATGACTGCACCTGTCAAGTGGAGTTACTCTTGCTGTCATGACAGATGTCAGTATTTCATTGACATCTTCTTCACCTGTGTAACCACTTCCCCATCCAAGAACTCGTGCCAGGTCATTACCGGTACCAAGGGGAAGAATGGCAATATGTGGAGGAAGCTGCAAAATTAGAGAAGACAATTGATCTTTTATGCCTCTGTTATTGCCAGAGAAATTGTACTTTCATGAAAAGGACCAAACTTTTAACTGACCATATTATTGGTATTTTAATCGTTTATTTTAGTTGGGCAATCACAATGCCTTTTAACATACAAACACACCATTATTGAACTTTCACATGTTTACTTTTAACTTGCCTAAATAGTGAAGTTTAGACCATTTGTTATCTTCATTAGTTAAGTTTAAAGTGTTTGCATCGAGAATACCAAAAACTTGAATGCATACCATGTATGGCCGTCTTAGTAATAACAGCCAGGCAAAAGCAATAAGCTGATCTTTACATACTTTTAACTTAACTTTATCCAACGCAGCAAGAACCCAGCCAACACTGCCATCACCACCACAGACCAGAATACGGGTCCTGTGATCTGGCAGCAACTTGCAAAACTCAAGTGCGGATTCAGGGGGCACTTCATGGAGATCTACAACCTTAATCAACAAGGAAAGGAAAAACATGATGTCCAGTTAGAGAAAAAATAATATTGTTCTTGATGTGATTTACAATTCTATGTACATAATAATGTAATAATATAAGGCAAAAAAGATGTAGTTGTATTGTTTTAAACAAAAGACAGCCAAACATGCCTGTCATAAAAACTTATTTTGGTTTTTATCTAGGGGTGGGGGGGGGAGGAGTACAGGGCTTTCATTAGAAGCCGGCTACCGCCGGAGCTAAAAGGTGGCTGCGAGTCATCGAGTCACCGGCTACTTGACCATGTTTGTCAGCAAATACTTCAAAAATATAACTCTTAAAATGTTTACAGCCTACCCATTTTTTCAGTTGAAATAAATCTGATAAAATATAGCGTACTCTTGCCCTGAGAATTTTGGCATAAAGCATATATCAACACGATTTCTGTACCGCGACGAATCGCAACTGATTGTAGGAACGCTCAGCCATTTTCAGCGGTATCATAGTGAAATTTAGCCTTGCTCCCAAACTATTACCACGTGGTTGGTTGAACAAAGATGGCGGCCATTTTGGCCGCATTTCCGAGCTTCTAAATTTCAAAATTTTCTGGGGGAGCATGACCCCAGACCCCCCTAGAAAAGGTGGCCTTCGGCCACCTAAATATTCACAGCCGCCTACTATTATATGGGCAGACGCCTACTTCAAATCTTATTGAAAGCCCTGGGAGTATAACCCAGCCCTCATCTTCAGGAATCTTGCAGGCTTGTGTACTTGTAGCTAGCAAATTTACTCTCGTCAACCACATTTTGTGTCTTGAAAAGTATAAAGCAGCCTGAGTAGTTTTTCCATTAACATTTGAAAACTCAGTGGTGTGAAGAACAGTTGAACCTCCACTAATTGCCACCTCGCCACAACAGCCACCTCTTTACAAAGGTAACGGCATCAAGTGTTTTATGTATGGTGCCCTTAGCTTCACCATGCATATGATTGGTAAAAAGCAAGGTCCCCAGACCCATCATAATCACTTCATCAAGGTACAGTCAAAGGCCTCATAAGTGACTACCTTGAAGTTTCATAAAAGTGGTCGCAACTAGAGCATGTGATAGGCATATCGGGGTGTGTGGAGGTTGGGGGGGGGCACTTACGATAGCTTGTAGCAAAAAGCTAATGATTAGCTGTTTATTACCAACACATTCAGGTAAAATTAAATTATACAGGGTCTTAGTGATTTTGCACAAGAAGGAAAAGACTGGCCGGTAATTAACGAAAGTTGTAGCAGTCACATACAGGAGCAGTCACTTAAAAGAGCTTTTCATTACAGAGCTTAAGTGAGTCTCAGTTTAAACAGGGTTTTACGATGCTGGTGGTAACAAGAGCTGGTTGGTTACAAGAGTGATCACAAGCAAAGCTTTGACTATATTATTTTCCCGGGGGCAAAGGAAACAGGAAGTTCACAGCCCCTCTCACCCTTGCCCTGTCTGCAGAGTATGGCAGAACTCGACGAGATCTCACATGTACAAGGCCCTTTTTAGGCCCTCATTACTTATTTATTGTTACAAAAACTTGCGCAGGCACCTGCCATACCCTGCAGACTGCACCCTCGCCTGCTCTGCTACTATTTTGGCTAAACTGGTTCATCTACCTGCACTGGGTTAAGCACACTTTTAAATGCCATTAGCAGTCTTTCTCCTTCATTGTCTCCACTTTTGCGATTAGCAAACACAAGAAGTGGACTCCAGTTCTTGATCGGAGGCGGAGAAACTTCACGAACAACAAACCTCTTCTTGCTACGCCAACTTTCAACTGTCAAACTAATGCAGTGTGGAGGCAAAATCAAAGATCTATACTTGCCAAAGTCACATATGTTTGGTTTACTACGAAGACATTTATCGTGGGTTTTATCTTGACACCATACGCATCGTAGATCACATAATCTAGGTTCTGTACCGCACTGAAAACCGCAAACACTACAAGTACTACAGAGAGGCAAATTACCACGGACCCACTGATGGTTCATGTAGTTTCTCTTGGAAAGAACCAGTACTTTGCAAGCAAATCTCTTTGTCGCATCGTCAATGCATTCCTCGTGAACTGAAATTGCACAGTTCTCGCAGTATCCCCCTCTTACTAGAGGACGCTCACAGAAATTGCAATAAGTGGGTTTGTCGAGTATCTCGGTCATAAACCACCGATGTCCCTTGTGTGGGTCGCCGACGCGAAATCCCCTCTTCCACGTAAGGCCTAGAAGCTTTGTGAGCACCCAGGAAAGTAAAATGAACATACCACAGCACATAAGAACTTGGTATGCATCGCCTCGCCATTCTAAAATGCTTCCCATTGGTTTTGACCATGTCAGAGTTAGCTATGAATTCGTAAATATCATGCTGATACAACAGCTGAAATTAGCGCCATGTTGGAAATTACCCATAATGCACCTGTCAACTAGAGGGGTTTTCGTGCGACCTTCAATCGCTACAAATTGATTGACAAAAATCGGTGAATGTGATTTGATTGATAGAAATCGATGACACACTCGTTTCGTTCATCGATTTATATCGGAAGATACATCTCTGATCAAGAAATGAAAACTGAGTCCCTGCAAGCAGTTAATTTAATTTTTTGACAAGGAAGGATCAGACAGTTCAACGCGCAGTTTCGGGTGTAGTTAATTATATCCTGTACTTCTTTTTTTAAGTCGATACACAAAAATCGAAATCGTTAAAAATCGTTAGCAATCAAATGATCTTTATCGATTGATAAAGAAAGACGGTGAAAATCTATCTAGGGAAATCTCTTAGCCTGAATTTTTAGACATGGCTTCGAGTAAAGTAAAGTAAGGTAAAACTTTATTTACACAGGGTAGCCCATTCAGCTCTAAGCCTGGTCTCCACAGGCGCCCTGTATCTTAAATAATTAATTTATATTAAGAATTTTCATAAACTATTACATTTAAAGAGCCTAATAAAAATACAATAATAATATTTAAGAACTATCTTAAAAAGCATAAAAATATAATGCAAAATCACATTTAAAGCCTAAAATATAATAAAATATCACAGTTATAATAAAAAGAAATGTCTTGCTCGGCGGCAGAACGTCTCAATGTTTTCACTCTTCACGAAGTAAAAAGGGAGTTTGTTAAAAATTTTTGCGCCAGTAAAAAGAAAGGTCCTTTTCCCAAAATTTTGTTTAACGTTTGGTTGGGATAGCCTTATACTGTGCCCTGTGGAATAATTGTGAGTGGTCAAAAATCTAGTAAAATATAATGAAAAATAACTAGGAACTAATGAGTGAAGACAGAGAAAGTTTATGAAACATTGAGAACAAGATTATTGTCTTCTAGCCATTCAGATAAACCCTGAAGATCTTGGTTAATGTGAAAAAATAAGTTGTGTACAGTTGTACCAACAAGATATAACAGTGTGTCGTCAGCGTACATATTTACAGAACAGTGTTTGACACAACGTGGTAGGTCATTAATGTAGATAATGAATAACAGGGGTCCGAGGATGGACACCTGCGGCACTCCAGAAGTTACGGCAAGCTCTTCAGATGACTGAAAATCAATGTGCACGAACTGCTTTCTTCCCATGAAGTAGTTCTTAAACCATGGAAGGCTTTCATCACATACACCATAATACTCTAATTTGCTAAGGAAAATGTCATGGTCAACTGTGTGGATGTGTTTTCTCAGCTGTACTTTGCTGACTTATGCCAAAAAACAACATTGGCGGCCCTTACGTTATAAATCATTAAAATCACGAAAAATCGATAATATCGATTTGCATTAAAATCATCACAGCATTAAAGTTGATCGATTTTCACCGATTCCTTTATCAATCGATAAAAATCATTTGATTGCTATCGATTTTTATCGATACCGATTTTTATCAATTGACCACTCCGGGCTTATTAGACGGTGTCCGTGCCAAAAGGAAAGTCATGGTCCCAGGCTTTAGATCGTGGAAACTGGGTATAAGAATTGCAACGTGTCACAGCGCCATGCTTTATTTTGTGAAGAAAGCCTTGGAAAAGATTGATGCGAAAGATGTCGAAATTTTCCGGAACGACCTTGGATAGAGTAGGAAGTGTAAAACTTTTAGGGAGGAGATCCTGTTTCGCGTAGAGTTAGTTCCCTCCACATTTCCTATGAAATCTCCAAGCAAGCGAGACTTAACGCTCTTTTAACAGCGTTGTTTAAGCGCGTAAATTTCAAGTGTCCATGTGCGCAGGTAAAAATTACACGACAATAACCATAGCCTGCCCAAGGCTTTCATTGAGTGAAGAGAGGTGCCAAATAGAGAGCGCCCTCGCCTTAGCTAGCTGTTTTTTTTTTCAGTTTTTCTGCTCATGCCTCACTACTTTTTGGACCGCCCCCACCATATATCTGAACGTCAGGAACAGGCTTTTAAGCTCGGGGATAAATTCGACAAATTGGAAGTAACTCACCTCAGCAACTGGCAAAAGGAAAATTCCCCACCTTCGGAGACGTCTCACGTGTTATAATCCCTACTACCCGGGCACAATTAGCCTGCGTGGCAGGCGCTTCTCCTTCCTCTTTTAACGCCTGCCACGCAGGCTAGGCCACAATCAACGGTCAGCAAATGCTCGGGGTTTGCCCGGGAAGTGGATGTTAAAGTTTAGAATTGATCGTCGTATAAAACGTTGATTTCAGGTTTGCAATTTTGTTCATTTGTCATGGTTTTTTTTGCTGGGCAACTGCGGCTATAGCCTGAGAACGCATGCAGATGTCTTTCTGGTGGTCGCTTCTACCCACTCGAAAAGTAACTTCTCCTTTTCCATATATGCCGCGAAGAGTTCCGAAAATGTTTCAGGGGCACTCCTGTGTGAAAAGGGGCTAGGATGATAATCTTCGGAAAGCTGAATTAAAACCACTAAATAAAGAACAATCTGGCGTTGCTCAAGCTTCATGTAGCCTTCCCGTAGACGTCTCCTATTTCCTTTTCCGCGAGCAGCATCTGAAGGAAATAGGACGTATGACATCTGCACGGCGCAGGTTAGCTTTTTTATGCCCTGAACATCCAGAACTGAAATCTGTTCTGATTGCAAGAACAGAAAGGAATCTCATTTTTACGCCAACATCTTGGGCGCTTGTGCGCTGGTCAAGGACTATCTCGCTGGAAGATTACAGAAGGTTAAATCGCAGATGTAACATCTGAATGGGCAGCGGTTTCGAGAGGAGTACCTCAGGGCAGTGTACTTGGCCCCTGTTTTTAATATTTTTATCACTGACCTATTTTATCATATTACGGAGGTAAAGCTTCAAGCGTATGCTGATGATGAGCAATTATAGGACATACCTTGCGAAGAAAAAAATCCCACACGTGATTCTCAATTCATTAATGATTCATGAAGAAAATACAAACTATACATTAACGTTTAATGAGTGTTTGGAAATCAGATGAAAAACTGCTCATTTTTGCATCCCTAAATTCTCCTTCTAAAATCATTTTTGTTTGAGAAGTAATATCAAGCATTCGACAAAGTGTTTCATCGCCAAATGAAACACCTCGAAGTTCGTCAAAAATACTCCGTTGAGCGTCGTATTTTCAATTCTCTCCTCAGTGTTTCATCACCAGTTCTCAAACTCATTAATTATTCGTGAGGGCAACAGCCAATAAGTGAGGCATATTTGGGTCACATGCATGAACGGCTTGATACCCAATGAACACTCAGATGAAATTCTTACGGGGTTTTTTATCCGAGATCAGACATCGTTTTGATCTCAGATCAGACACTTGCATTTTAATGAGCATTTTTCAATAATTAATCCATCATTAACAACAATTCCAACACTGTGACCTTAATACTATTTGATATAACCTTGATAGCGTCGGATATCACAAACTATTATATAAACGGTCTTCGGTAGATACGGTAAGACTCCGAAAATAAGCCCTAGGGCTCATATTTTTCAAAGGCCCTTTTTGAGGGGCTTATTTTTGGAGGGGCTTATCTACGGAGGGAAATCTGCGTTTCAAAATCGATAGGGCTAGCCTAACAGTTCGAAGTAAATTTACCGTTTTTGTTTTGTTTTACTTTGTATTTGAGGGCAATTTTCCAAGTACAAGCCCCTGGGGGGGGGGGACTTATATTTGGAGGGGCGATTTAATGGCGGGTTTTTTGCGTTACCGGTTTGGGGGGCTTATATTTGGAAGGGTCATACATGGAGGGGCTTATTTTCGGAATTTTACGGTATCTCTCCCCAGACTTCTTAGCCACCTCCATCACAAACTTGGTAAGCCAGTAATTCAAGGTTACTGCATGCATTTTTTCAATCCTGGTGGAAAGCTAAAACGGGAGCTATAACCGACCGAGAAATTTACCATTCGTCAAAAAATTGTTACCGCCTATTTGTTCTTATACTTGGTTGACGAAGGAATAGATTTTTCAACTAACTCGCGTTCGTCGTAAACTGTTTCGGCTACACAAATCTTGCCTCTCCATCTTCACTCATGGTCAGACACCAACTACACCAATACGTAATATGGCAAGCTTGCATCGGTTGTTCTTTCAATTGGGGAGGACAATAGCAAAAAAGTCTATCACTGCACATTTTTTTATTATTTCGTTTGAGAAGTCATCTCAAAAACTCGTGTTTCTGGTTTGATCAGGGGTTCCAAACACCTCGGCATAAAAACACTCGGCCTGCGGCCTCGTGCTTTCATCTGTTTCTCGGTGTTTGGAACCCCTAATGAAGCCCTTGCACTCGGTTTTGATATATTGCATGAAACACTACTATACGTCTCCTGCTTGATATATTACTTGACGAATTTCGCTTTTTCGGGTCAAAACTGAAATGTGGTATCTTCACTCAGAAAACGATATCAGGCGATAGTTCCTGTCAGGACAAGCAAAATTAGTTGTAAATTTGCAAATTCCTACAACACAAGAGTTGAACTAATCAGCTTGGCCCTTTTTTTTCACTGAGTTAAAAATCCATTAACTTGAACTACTTGCAAAATAAGACATCACGTCTCCACCACATCCGACGCACGTATACGAAATCTAAAATGTAAAAATAAAAATATTCTAAAAGTTTTAAAATCCTCGAAATATATTTGACTGACGAGGCTCGAAGAGCGAAATATATGTCGAGGATTTTAAAACTTCTAGACCATTTTTATTTTTACATTTTACCGTCGTATACGTGCGTCGAACGTGGTGGAGACGTGATGTCTTATTTCGCAAGTAGTTCAAGTTATTCGAACACATTCCTAGTCTCGGCATTTACAATTTCTCAAAAATGAAAATCTATTTCTATCTTTTCAATCTACGCCAAAAAAAAGTTATTCTACTTTATTGAAAACACTAGAAATAAGGAAAAAAGAAACAAAACGTTGAAAAAATTACTGCCAAAAAGGTTTTGATGTTTGATAAGTATTGTGGCCTCTAACAGCGTCAACAGCGCAACACACTTTGTTGAACCTTACGGAGATACCGGTCGCTTAGGGCAGGTGATAAAGATTTTGTAACAAGAGTTAATTCATGGAAGCAGTTTAATTATTTGACTCGACTTTCATTAGGACCAACAATAACCATCGGATGCGAAGATAAATAAAGAAAACGCCAAAACCTAAGCATCCTTGAAAACCAGGTGGTGAGAAAAATAAGACGTGTTATTAATAAAAGTATGAAGGAAAGGGAAACGACCAAGGTACTTGATTATTTACAGTGACTGAATCCTTATATTTACTCGTTTAACTGTCGCAAGGATTGTTTTAATCGGTTGAGTACTGAACTGCAGAATTTGTGGCACAGTTTATTGTAAGACGTCATTTTTTTTTTTTTCACCTCTCCACAAGATATCAAAGACGATCGTCGGTTACATTGCGAAATGTAACAAAAAACAAAACATAACTCACCTTATATTTTACAAATGCAGAGACCTGCAGTTTAGTTTTTAAAATTCAGGAAAATCAATATAGACAAAAAAAAATCGCATCTATTCTACCCACTTGAGTAAGTTTTAATTCTTTTTTTTTTCTCGAATTTTCCCAGCTGATTGGCAAGTCTGGATATTGAGATTAGGTCGAAAAGGATTAAAAATCTTGTCTTGACTATTGTAAATATCTTTTAAACTATTATTGATCATATGTCCCAATTTTTCAATGATAAGGTCTTCCCAAAATTTTACTTGAAACTTATTTGAAATTAGATAAGAAAATTTAACCTTTTTAAATTCAAAACTATAAAAGTTGTCTGATCCCTAAAGTACTGAACAATTGGTGCATTATCATTCTAGAAGACTCCAAGAAAGAAAAAGGGATGAGAAAACTGCGGAATGAAAAAAAAAGGCAACTAAAACTACTTACTCAAAAAATTACGAGTTCAGAGTCCTTCGCTTAAGACAAATACGTCAATATTTCACCTTAGTCCCTAAGTATTATGAAGATCTGAAAATGTGAAGAAATAAAATACAAGGTTGCACCTTTCAGGAAGTCAGACGTGAACACTTAGAAATTAAAAAAGATTAAGAGCCAATGTCTGTAATTTTCGAGAATCGGTTGACAGTCGTGAATTTTTGAATTTCTTCATATATTGCCCAAATAATCTCTATAGTACCCTAATTTCAAAAATCACGTTAAAACTTGTAACAGCTTTTTATTTTTTCAGGAATCAGGCAAAGTTTGAAAAACTCTAAATCGGCGCTCTTTCGAGTATGAAATTAGCGAAAATTGAGCATTTTCTTCGCGCTCGTACATAAAAACGGAATAATATCTCTAGATGAAATCACGTCACAAAAGAGACACACATTTTACTTTATAATTCAGCAGTTAACTTTAAATAAACCGTTTAAAATGTGACTGTACCGGCCGCAAGAAGAAACACGGTTTCAGCACTTTTCAAAAATGGCAAATTTGACCTAACTTCACCATCGTAAAAACCCAGTTGGTACACGGAATTTTAATATGAAACAAGAACTGTATTGAAGCATATCCTTTGCTGTTGTTTGCGTTAAAATATTTCTGGCGGCATTCCAAATGCGCACCGTCGAGAGACCAAAACCTGAAGGGTATTTTGACACCAGGAAAGCGCGTGCAACAAGCAAGTTTCGACGCTTGGAATATTAATCCTTCGCAAACGTAAGTTACTTCGACATTTAAACCCTAGTCAGAGTTGTAACGGTTTCAGATTATATTTCGGCGTTTCTGTGCGGTTTAACATGACAGGGGCACCCAACGGCAATTTTCGGGAAAATATCTGTTCGGAAGACGATTTGAGAACTAGAATTTTCGGAACATTTGTTGTAAAATTTCTTGCTTGCCTGCCTCTCCTAGGATTTTCGAACATCTACAAAATGGTATAATTACCCATTTTAAACGGATATTTACATAGAAAAAGGCCACCTAGAATTTTCGGGAGCATTTTCCTGGCTGAAATTTTCGAAAAGGTAAGTTTTGATCCCTATAATTTTCGGATCACTAGACTTTCAGCTAGAAAATCCGAACAGATGAAAAGTTTTTAGGGGATAAAAATATGCCCATATCTACCGTTTAAATACTAAAATACGTTCAACAATGCTATGTTAAGTGGTTTTGAACTATATCCTCGTTGGGTGCCCCTGACATGATTCCTTTCAACTGATTTTTGCGATAAACCATAATGAAGAGACGAATACGCGGTTCAAATCACAGTAGTAGTGTTAATCGCATTGAAACCTTAAAATCAGAAAAGTTATTTACTTACCTGAATTTAAATGCTAGACGGGGTCACAGTACCGCTAACTAAATTCTGCATCAAGGCAGGATCGAAGTTAAGTTTGCATGTGTTTTCAATCTGTCAACACGAGGGAAGACGACATTCCGGAAGTGCGTGACGCGTAACGCGCCGGAAAAGAAATTCCTGGTATATTGTGCTACTACGACGAAAATTTTTGTTTTTGTTTCCGAGTTTTTTTTAACATAAATCTTTTGTATATGTTCAAAATTATACAAATAGCGAAAAATTGGAACGATACTTGCGTACGGGGACTGGAAATTTCCCACTGAAAAGTGTAGCCTGCGTAGCAGGCGCTTGGAAGTAGCGGGCGAAAGAGAGAACGGGCGCGCGCGAGGGAGACACGCAAGGGGTGTCTCCTTCTCGCGCGCCCGTTTTTTCTTGGGCCCACTACTTCCAAGCGTCTGCTACGCAGGCTATGAAAAGTGCGTAAATACCGTCCGCCATTACAAAGTTCGCAAAGCAATAGCCCGCGAGATCTCCGCAAAGCGGTCGTGCGTTTGACCACGTGATTTATGCAGTGTGACGTAGAAACATCAACCAAAAGATTCGCATTTGGGAAAAGTTTGTGAGTTTACAGCCTTTTAACAAGACGTTTAAGATGTTATCTCCGTCGGATTCCTCTTCCTGCACATCTGAAAGTGATCTAGAAAGTTTTACAGTTGACGAAGTGATTGGGGAATTGTCTGAATTTGCGCCGTACGACGACAGTTGCGAACCCCTTGCTACCAAGGAAGAAGCCGCGGACTACAACGAAAGAGTTCATCGCGAAGAAGAAGAGGAACAACAGTTTCAACGAAGATATTCGGGAGAGGTGCCAGCGAATGAATGGTATGGTATTATCATGGAATGTAGATTTATATTTTTATTTTCCAATTTGAACATACCCGTCGTTAAATGTGCGCGTGACGAACGCGACTGTGTTCGTTGCTATGTGATTAGCTGTAGTCCTGATTTTATGCGATAGTTTTATTGAAGAGGTCAGACAATTAATAATTTTATACAGACGTATTTTTCTTGTGTTTGACGAATTTTTCACATTATTTTGCAGGTGTTCGTGCTCGAACTACTCTGTTAGCCTTGTTACAAAAGCGCAGGAGTGCATTTGCTGCAAAGAGATCGATCGCTGCCATTGGAGACCGGACCGTATGCATAACCCTCCATCCAGGGTTTGAAAGCGTCTGCTTAAACCGCCACGTATTATAAGTGGCTGCACTGGGCCTAAAAACGCGAGCTGAAAAGTCGTACACAACTGTTCGTGGGCAAAGCAACAAAAGTGATGATGAGTAAGTTGGGGTATTGTTGACTTTGTATCGGAACGATCGAACCTTACATAGCATTGAATAATTGATGCATCTAAGCTTATCGCCGTGGACTGATCTCATAGAATCACATTTTTTATTTTCTAAATAGCTTTATTGCCCCAACTGCTTATTTTTAAAAGGAGTATTTATTTATCTCCATCCAATCCCTCCTTGAATTAACAGTGATCTCATTTCTCTAACTAGATTCCTGAGGTCTGTGGCCTATCGCCAATTTACAAGACTGCTGTGGACTTATATTGGTAGTTCCAGGCGATACCCCTTACCCTGTTGTGCCTACAATAAAATCAGGAAACACAATTTCCGAGTCAAAATGGCCATTATCGTGGATTCGAAGATGAAGAAAATGAATAATAAATGCAGTGTTTGTTCTTGAAGAGTGTCATTGGGGCCAAGAAGGACCTACAGTAGTTGCTTGAATGCTTGTCCGTAAGCACTTAATTTTATGGGCCAAACTTCAGAATTCTCAGCCACTTACTCGCTTTTTGTTGAATGACAAACTTGCCCACTGTGTGAAGCCCTGTTCTTCTAGTGTTCAGTTAAACTCAAGTTTAGTGGCTGGGAATTCTGATGTTGCTCCAATTTTCATGTTCACAAGTAATAAAAATTAAATCGAATTCAGCCTGAATTTAATTACAGTTTTAATGTATCGTTTCTTCTTTTCACTCGGCTCACAGAGCACTGCAAAACTTAATAGCAGGTTACCTGCTGGAAACTTTCCTAGCAGGTCTGTTTGACTCTTCCAGACTTTTGTCTGGCTACAGTTTCTGCAGAAACTTTCTACGGTTAACAAGGTACCTGTCTGTGATACAGAAAGTTTGGGTTTTGAAAAGAAGCACAAGTGGCAGAACTGAAACAAAAGAAGAAGTTTGGAAAGGAAAACAATTCCCTTCAGTTCCTCTCGAATGTTTTTTCCTTGTAGATCCAACCTGTAAAAAATTATTGAAAGGAAATACTCATTTAATCATAGCATCTGAAATAATAAAATAACAATAAAAAAAATGATTCTCATTTTTATTGTTTTTCTCAGGGTGTTGCCAGTTTTTCAACTTGTTGTAAACCTGGCTAATTGTGGGTTGGGATTTTATTCTCACATACATCCTGAAAAATGCTTTTTTATAATAATTCTGTTGATTGCACACATGACAACTTTGAGCCCTTAAGCTATCTAGCCCACGCCGACGATGCATAATTTATTACAAGTGGTTGAGTGGACAAACCAAACATTTTTAGGCCTGGGACTTCCAGTCTATGGGCTGGCTATGCCTCTTCTTTTTTTTTTTTGCAATTCTTATCTGAGTAAATTAAAAAACAAATTTCATGTACTCTTGTTTCTAAATAGATCCTCTCATAATATAAGTTAGTTTAGGCCTAAATCACTTCCCAGAGGATACTTAGAGCTAAGATGTTAAAATGCAATAAATTTTGCATCTTTGTACCTTGGGTTCTGATGAGTCTTCACCGAGTCATCATCTTCCTTTAGTTTTTTATATGCATCTTCGATTCCTTCAGGACTCCATTTAGGGTCTTCATAACACTCATACGCGTCATCCTGCATTTCCTGCTCATCTTCTGATTCATCCTCTAGCCCTAACTCTGTCTCATTTGTTACTGGCCATGGATCAGTTTGAATAGCTTAAACAAATGGAATTAAAAAAATTCTATCACCATTAAAATTTTAATTATTATTAAATAATCAAATATTGATAAAATATAATAAAAATATAAAGATAGGCAGTTATGCCTATATGACTCATCAACATCAATTATTGTTGACTCACCAGCATTCACCATCAGCAACTGCTTCGGCTCTTGTATGCTCTTAAAGGTTTCAACCCACTGATCTTGATTGGAGATTAACTTACTCTTCAGTCTTGTGACTTTGCCCCTTAACTGAGTCACCTCACTCCTCAGGGTTTTGCATGTTGTGCAATTCCCAGCATGTCCAGTTGGAGTATCCTACAAAAAACAAACTTTCAACATTAATACAGGCTGTAATAACAAGACTTTAGAAGTTTTGTGTTTTAGTATTGATGTAAAATAACTACACATGTAGTTTTGCATTGTTATGATAATACAAAGATGCAAATAAACATTAATTAGAGTTATGCGCCTACCATAGAAACCTGTTCAAGTTCAGGAATTGTTAATGATTCATCAATCTGCATAACTTCATCCATATCCTGCACTTTTTCGATTCCCTGAGCCTCCAGGATCTGCATGGTCTCAGTAACCTCATCAGTGCCTGAAATCCGTTGGTTCTTGAGAGCTGTCTTATCACCAGGAGTACCTAGGACCTCTGAAGCCATCTCAGCATCAAAACTTATCCCACCCGTCTGTCTCAGGGATGCAGCCCTCCTTTTCAGGATTTACCTCAAGCAGAGAACCCTGACTTGTCTTCAGAACACCCTCGACTTCTGGAGACTCCTCAGGGTTGAGATTGGGAGCCCCCATAGTGTCAGCACTCTCCTCAGGTGCAGAACTTCCTTTCAAAGAGATCACCTCTTTCTTCACGATTGTCTTCTTCCTCTGTATCTTCCTTAGTAGTTTGACCAGCCAGAATTTCATTTAGTAGCTAAAAATGAAAAAAGGTACGACCATTTTTTGTATCTCCCCTTCAAAACAAGTTTAAATTTGAGCTTTATGTCGATGTTTTCAAAACTAGAAATGGAAGCACGGTTTAACCACATCTTTGCCTTAAAATGTATGCATCATTTGCAGACAGTGAAAATAGAATTAAAATACAACCAAAAAAAAACCGCAAACAGTAACTGAACTTATAGAATGTAGAAATCAGACTAAGTCCATTTTTGGTCGTTTGAAAAGACTCGCGTGTAACTCTTAATTTGCTGTAAGATTTCTTGGAGGGAAGTTTGGAGTACTGTCAAATCTCAAAGTAACAGCAAGATAATCTCTCAAACAATAGAGAGCCGGATTTCTATGTCGCTTCACTTTTTCTAAATTTTACGCTTGAGTGGAAAGGTCTGGGAATTGGGGAATTGACTTCACGTCCACTCAGCGCAAATGCCCGTTTTACTATAACTATGAGAATAAAGCAGAAAAGTATGAAAACACATGCAACAATATGGGAAGTCCAAATAGTCAGAGCATTCATTACACGCATATTGAACAACGATGCCAGAAAAAATCATGTCACAGGTAAATGGGGAAATAAATATAATGGTGATAAGCACAGCGCAAATACATTGTAATTTCACTCACCGACCGTCGACTCCGCTTTGATAGTGTTTGAGAGGATTTTTTCCAAATGGTTGGAAACGTCCCCTGCTTCAAATTCCTTTTCATGTCTTTCATCGGAAAAGCAAGCGTAAAACAATCCCTTGTAAAATGCTCCGATCACACAGCAAATTTTCCCACTGGGTTGAAATCCTTCCGATGAATGGACACGAACCTTTTCCACTTTAATCTAACGCTGCCCGAATCAGGAGAATTATGAATAGAAATCCCCAATTCATCGTCCTTTACGTTTCCACAGTCCTGAACAACACAACGTCTACCAGGCACACTTTCGCTTTAAGTCAAACAAGACGCCTAAAGTCGTTTCCGTGGGATGCGTTGGTCTATGGAAGCATAATAACGTTCTATCTGAATTTAAAAAAATTAGGGAAACCACCGGAAAGATGTGTCATGTTATGAGCATCGATGATGAGTTGGTTTAATCGTATGAGTTGGTTTAATGTGCTTATGACTGAATTTATAGTACCCTGCGTGACAGGCTACTATTTCTCCCCAATCCACATCCCCTTTTTGCTTCCTCCCTATCCCCTACTCCTTTCGACACCTGCTACGCAAGCTAAATTTATAGTTGTCACTGGTCGCAAGGATGGAGTTGATCTTGTTTTGATCTATCGTTTTGTAGTTATTTTCATAGCCCGATTTGGATAAGAAAAAGAAGTTATTTTGCATCAAGGTAAGGTTTACCCATTTACCTTAAATGGAATGTTAACGGAAACAAGTAATGCAGAACATGCGCATAATGCTCTCTGATTAACCTGAACAGGAACTATATGTATAAAGATACGTCATATCTTGGTAGTAAGTAGCCACAGGTAACTTTTTCAAAGAGAAATAACCATTGTAGTTTTAGATTAATGGAACAAAACAAAACAAAACATCCGCTTGCTTTATCCAGGGTCGAACCCAGGGTTACAAAGTTCGATAAAGTTCCAATGTTTTAATCCAAGATGAAAGTTTAATATTCCAAGATGCCCTTGATACGGTTAAAAATTAATTGCAATGTGTTTCCAAGGTCTCAAAGTTAACATAGTTCCAATGGTTATCCCTGATTCCAAGATATAATAAGTTTACGAAGGTCCACTCCTGATCCGTGTCCCATCCAGAAGTCCAATCCATGCCGAAAGCGAGTCGTCGATCGACGAGGACAATATTTTCGCGATTTCACCGCCAATCGTCAAGGGTACGAGTTGAAATTTACGCGATTTAACCTCCCATCGTCAAGGTGCTTTCGATAAGAAAAGAAAATAACTGAAATCTAGCTGTGCTCGACAAAAACTGGTGAACTCCAAATAGAAAAATCTATCGGAAATCACGGCCCGCAACCAGACGCTGCTAAAACCTTATGAAAAAGCTAGACCTAAACAAAAAAGAATCATGAAGGAACGAAATAATTTGGCTTAGGCCGCCTTTCGTGTCTTGCCAGTATCCCGAAGGATTTCACTGGTTAACTAGCCATCCTAAACCACGAGTGGGAAAACTCAAGCGCGACAAATTTGGCAAGGAACGTTCTGACTTCAAAGTTCTTCAGAGGAAGCAAATCGATTAAAAATCGATACAGATTTTGTACAATCTGATTGGTCGGCCTGAAAGAAGAG